GCCTGCTGTTCAGCTTCAATCAATCCAGCAAAAACCTCTTGCAAGTCATATGGATTTCTTTTATGCTACAACCTTTTTAATTCAAACCTGCCTGCTGCCAGGAATGTGTAGGCATTTTAAGGCAGGATCACATCACCTCTTAATTGCTTTTGGATAAACTGTGTCAATCCAAAGGGGCAATGAGAACAGAAGCAGTATGGATACTTTTTTGAAGCTGCTCAAAGAAAGAATGGACTTTTCTGCCCAAAAAGGAACATTTCTGGAGAGACTTTTACCTCTATTGTATCATTATTTCTTTTCTGAGAATCAGCCTCATTGCAGGTGTTTGGAGACTTTTTTTATTCCTTGATTATTTCCCTTTTCCAGATCCTTCCCCAAGATTGGAAACAAAATAAAGATAAATCCAATTCATCCTCGCCTCCTGACTGCTAAATAAATTCCAAGCCCAAACTATTGTCCCCTGCCTCCCTGATCAGATGAAGCTGAATTCATTCACTGACTTATTCTTTTCCTGTTTTTCTCTGTATTTTCTTTAGCTGGCCTTAGGAACAAAACCCAAGCAAAACTCTCCCTCACCACCTTTGTTGCTTGAATGCCCAGCAGCGTGGTGAAGGAGGAGATGTGGGCAGCAGGGCTGGTTTTTGGTGCTGTTCTTTCAAAACACATCATATTCTCCTTCCCTGTCCATGGCAGGGGGTTGGAACTAGGTGATTTTAAGGTCCTTTCCAATCCAAACCATTCTGTGATTCTGTATATTCCCTCCTGCTCTAGGAAGGGGCTATAGAGGGAGAGGAGAGTTGATGTCCTCTAAGCTGGGAGAAAACCATGCCCTGCTGTTGCATCTCCAAATTCAGCACCTAAAAGAATATCACTCCTCTCTATATCCCAAGCTGAGAACTTTGAAAACTAATATATGCTATTTGGTGTGATATCCTTTATTATGCTCTCACTGCGTTTCCTTTAAGAAGCTGATCCACTCGGGATTTGCCGAAAACCTCAAGGAATTTACACGCTAGCCAAGCCAAATGCACAGTGACAAGATTTAAAAAGCAGGCAAAGCTGACACATTCCATATGCGGGTGGAGGAAACGGGGCTGTTTTGAGGTCTTTGCTTATCATCCTGATGAGAGCGGGAAGACCTCAAAATAGGCCAGCGTTTACAGCAGTGCGGGAGGTGAGATTGCACAGACATGCCATGAAATTCAAATCAAATTCTCTTCCTTCAGTTCTTGTTCCCTGTGTTTTTCTTTTAGTTGTGTGTGTCTTGGTGTTAATCAATTTAGTGGTAATCAGGTAACAAAAGCTGGTTCCCGGAGCACTAATTTACCAGCACTTTGTGCTGCTCTGCAGGATCCCCCCCTGTGCAGAGCTGATTGTGCAGCCACTTGTTCCTTGTGCAATAAACTCCTTCCAGATCCTCGCTCCCATGGATGTCTTGGCAGCCTGAGCGCTGACTATGGGACAGGAGACCTGCCCCAAGCTGTGCTCCACCATCAACCCCATGGATGAGCCAATTCAGTGCACTTACTCTAAGATTAACATTAATTCTTGAATCCCTGTGTTAAGGATTAAATATAAAGGAAAACAAAAGCTCTCCAAGGTTCCCTTATCTCCATTCTGCAGCTGGTGAATTGGGAAAGGACAAACCTCCACTCACACAGGTTGGCTGAGCCCAAATGAGCCCAGAATTGGGGTTTCTTGGACCCCACTGTTTTCTTGCTCAATCCCTGGCCATGTTTAACCTCTGTACCTGACTTCCAAGCTGATGCTGTGCCTGCCCCATCCTGATGAAGAAGAGGGAGTCTGAAGGTGGAGGATGCAAAGGGCAGCTGAAGGCTCCCTATGGCTTCATCTGCCTGTGCCCTAAGCCAGGCTTGTTGGCAACATCCAGTGGATGCATCCCAGCTCACTGGAGATACAATGCAGGGATCTACCTGGCCTGGGACATGTTCGGAGGAAGGACAAGGGAAAGGCAAACCAGAAGGTTTCATCCCACCGACTCTTTCGGGAGGCATCCTTTCTATTGAAGACAATGCCAATTTGGGGCAGATTGTCTGATTTTGGGTAAAAAATACTTGCCATGGTGACGGGAGAACCCAAAAGGGCTGCCTAGGAAATGGATGGAGACCTTTTCTCCATTAGGAAAACCTGAAGTGATATGTGGGGTTTGGGAGCTGCTTTTATCCTCTGCTTGGCATTTTTGCAGAGAGCTTCATCAAAAGCTAAACAGCCAAAAGGGGTTTTTTTCTTGTCGTCTTGTTTTTGGTCTGTAGCATTAAAGAATCCATAGCCTTGGCAGGCTTTTCTGTAAGAAAAATGTAAGAGAAAAATGGATGTTTCCAGCATGTTTCTCTTCAGATTCAAAAGAAAATCAATCAGATCTCCCTTCAGCCCAGATTAGTTCTACCAGCTTCAATCAAGCGGCTTTTAGAAAGCGCTCGGCATTAATAATCAATAATAGCAGCCTACATTTTAATAGGGCTCATCATCTTGGACAAACCAAACGTTTTTGATATCTGAGCTAACCAAATATGACGACACTTCAGCCATCAATAAAACACAACCTCCTCTTTGGCAGAAAGAGGCAGGTACCTACAGTGCTGACCAAGTTGGCTTTCAGGACCAGAATGAGAGGAGATATTTATATTTCCAAGAAGCATCAGTGCTGTTCCTTGTCTCTCTTGCAGGGCAGGAGGAACAGCTTGCCACCATCACTGGGGGGGTGGGGGGGAGGAATTTCAGTTAATGCCTCGCTGAGATGAAAAACCATTTCATCTCCTCAGGCTCTCTGCAAACTCAGCTGTCTTTCTGCTTTAGCTCTGTGGTTGGCTTTGCTTTGTAGCATCATAGAAAGGGAAAAATGTGTTTTTGGAGATGGTTCCACCAGGAGCTAAAGAAAAACTCCTGCCCATCCCAAGTTTGGAGGAGAAGGACATCCAGGAGTGATCCTGTATCAGTGCTCTTCCGCAATCCATCTCCATCAACTGCCTTGTGGGAGCAGCAGGGATGATGTGTTGATGTGTAGCAATGGTGATTTACAGGGTGCTCGAGATACTGCCCTGGGATAATTCACACAAGTCACAGCCCATTCCTGGGGACCCTTGAAGCAGAAAGCAGCAGGATGGTGCTCGAGTCACCTACTCCTCCTCTGCACATCAGAGGACACCCCAATTATTCCCATTCCCTCCTGCGCTTGGAGCATGCACTTCTTACCACCTAGAGCCAAGGTGGGCACAGCCCAGCCTCTTCCTATGCCATGCAAGTCTCCTTCTGCTCAGATCACAACCTTTGCTCTTTTTCTCTTTTCCTAGTGAGAAATGCATCTCAGCCAGTTGCCCTCTAACTGCTCAGCTTCCCCATCAGGGTATTTGGAAGGTCTGGGAACAGCGATGCAGCTCCTGTCCATCCTGCATGGAGCAGTTTCCTTCCCGCTGTCTTCCCTATGGCCATATCAGCACTGGATCCCCCCATGCTGGTGTCCCAGAAACCACCTGCCTGGTCCCATTTCAATAGGGAAGAAAGACAAACTGACACTAACCTCAGGCACCTGCCTGCTCACAGATGTGATGGACAACAGGAATCAATTGTAATGATGTTTGTGAAAGGCCAGTCCCATTTGTTTGCATGTTCGGAAGAGGCTTTGTCCAAGGGATGGGGTGAGATAGGACGGGATCAGTGAAAAAGTCTTTCACCAAAGGATGGGATCAGTGGGAAGGAGAAAGGTGAAAGTGATGGGAAAAGGAAGGGGGAAAAGGAAGGAGGAAAAGGAAGGGGGAAAAGGAAGGAGGAAAAGGAAGGGGGAAAAGGAAGGAGGAAAAGGAAGGGGGAAAAGGAAGGAGGAAAAGGAAGGGGGAAAAGGAAGGAGGAAAAGGAAGGGGGAAAAGGAAGGAGGAAAAGGAAGGGGGAAAAGGAAGGAGGAAAAGGAAGGGGGAAAAGGAAGGAGGAAAAGGAAGGGGGAAAAGGAAGGAGGAAAAGGAAAGGGGAAAAGGAAGGAGGAAAAGGAAGGGGGAAAAGGAAGGGGGAAAAGGAAGGGGGAAAAGGAAAGAGGAAAAAGGAAGGGGAAATTTTAAAGCACAGCCAATCTGATCAGTGTGTAGCTGCTTCCCAGCTCCTCGCTCATCGAGAGGAAGCATTGACATGTTCCATTACTGCGTTCACTCTCTCCCCTCGATCAGAAACAGGCTCTGTCAGCTCTGAGCACACACCTGCCTCTGGACCGACGGGCTTCTCATCAGAAATGCCATTTCAGCAGAGGAGCTGGACCTTGCCTTGTATCCTGGGAGCGACTGTGCTTTCAAACCAGCGGTGCTGAGCCGATCAGGGCAAAGGCAGCTTGTGGGGGACCAGCAGCGTGTGGGGTGAGGGCTTTGGGGCAGAACTCACTATTCACCTCATGGGGGTAACATCAATCAGCAGCAGCAGGATTTGCCGTGTCCTTTCCTCTTTACCACCCAGTTTCACACCTGAGGAGGGTGAGCACGGCTAAAGGCACACGGCTCATATGCTGCTCCTGTCCCCGAGCTGCTTGTCACAGCCCAGCTCAGCGGTGCCGGCGTAAACCCAAAGCGAGCCCAGCACGTGCGTCAGCTCCGTCCCACCGGCTCGTCACCGCATGTCCCCGGTGACGCAGGCTGCTATAATTAGACCCTCGGAGGTGCTGACTTGCCCAAGTCCTGCCAGTTTGTCGTAGCCTTTTCCCTCCCGACCGCAGGTGTGGGAGCTGAAGGCAGCAAAGCCTCACTAATGCACAGCACCGGGCTCAAACAGGGCTCCTGGGGGTTGGGATGGGGTGAGGGATGTTGGTGGTATCCTTTAGATGAGTGACATTAGTGTGACATCCCTGGGTGCTGAGGTGCTGGCACAGGGTGCCCAGAGAAGCTGTGGCTGCCCCATCCCTGGCAGTGTTCAAGGCCAGGTTGGACACAGGGGCTTGGAGCAACCTGCTCTAGTGGAAGGTGTCCCTGCCCGGGGCAGGGGTTGGAACTGGGTGAGCTTTAAGGTCCCTTCCAACACAAACCACTCTGGGATTCTATGATCCTTAGCTGGGGTAAAACTCCAGGGAGCAGCAGAGCACCCCATAGGACTGGGCTCCAGAAGCCCCATAACCTGGATTTTCAAAGTACATCTGTTGGGGGTTTTTGTTTTCTTGAGTAATTTTATAGTCCAGCTTCCTTCCATGGAGAAGACCAGGTCATGGGTCTATCCTCCAGACTCTGTTCCTCAAGCCAAGGACTTACAGAATCATGGACTGGTTTAGATTGGAAGGGATGGGGCAGCCACAGCTTCTCTGGGCACCCTGTGCCAGCGCCTCAGCACCCTCACAGGGAAGAGCTTCTGCCCAAGAGCTCATCTCAGTCTCCCCTCTGGCAGGTTCAAGCCATTCCCCTTGTCCTGTCCCTCCATCCCTTGTCCAAAGCCCCTCTCTCCAGATTTCTTATAGGGAAGAAGAACACTATGAGGCAGCTGCCTAGATGGGGAGGACTAAGCCAGTAACTTAGAGAAGCTGCTTGAGAAAGCAGGTTAAGGCAGCTCTTCCAAAGGGGCTGAGGCACCTAATGCCTGCAGAAAGCCCTCAGCAACCCCGTGCACCTGGAAAACACATGCAGAAGCATTGATCCAACCGGGAACATGACTCCAGTGGCCCTCAACCTCCAGAAACACCATTATATTTGTGCCCATGTGAACACGCAGCAGACGCCTTGTCCTGCCTTACCTGTCCACACTGATGATGCACAAGGTCATGATGGAGGCGGTGCAGCACATAACGTCCATGGCGATGAACACATTGCAAAACACCTTCCCAAAGAGCCACTCTCCCCCCACCAGGTCTGTGATGGTGACGAAGGGCATGACGGCGAAGGCCACCGACAGGTCAGCGGCCGCCAGGGACACCACCAGGTAGTTGGAGGGCTGCCGGAGCTTCTTGACGATGCACACGGAGATGATGACCAGCCCGTTGCCAGCGATGGTCATGAGGATGATGATGGAGAGCACGGCTCCGATGACGATCTTCTCGGTGTCCCCATAGAGCAGGATCTCCTCGCCGCAGTCCGAGGCGTTGGTGAGGTTGGAGGAGGGCAGGTCTGGCTCGGCTGGGGCGGAGGGTTGTTCCTCAGTCATGGATGGATTCGGGAGCGGTTTCTGCGCCGGGTGCTGCTGCTGCTCTGCGTTCTCCACAAAGACAAGGTGATGCTCCAGAAACCGCCTGGGGCTGACCCTCAGCAACATGCTCCGAGCTCACCGCGGCAGCAGGGCACGGCACGAGTTTTCTCCCAGCAGTGACACCTCCAGTGACAAACCAGAACATGTTGTCACAAACAGGATAAACACACAAAACAGCCCTCCTCGCCCCGACCCTGGCTCTTGCATCCCAAAGCTGGGATGCAGCTGGATCTCATGTGCTTGGCAAGAAGCTGCTTCCCAAGTCTGCTTAAAGACACATTGAAGGATGCTTGGAGAAAGCTCCTCTCCACTTTTAAAGGAGGCTGCAATGCCTGCCTGGTCATCTGCCTGCTTTTCCAGCAGGATGGATACCAGCAGTGCATCGGATAAATGCCCATGGAATGATGTGCTGCTGCTGAGCTGTGCACTTCTCTGCATCCACGCATTGAAATCCCATGCAGCCACATGCATATTCTCATACGTGGCTATCAAAGAGCATGTGACAAGACAAGCCACAGCCACAAACGTGTGCACGCACATCACCCCCGTGCCTTAACACAGGAACTTCAAAGCTGTGGCTGTAAATCCATGCACATGGCATGTCATGGAAACACACGACCATACGTACACACACAGCGTGGTGCAGAGCTGCAGAGTGCAGTGGGAGCGTATCCATCACATGCAGCATCCGCGGGGTACCACGCACAGTCAGAGCATCCCAGCCCATGCCCGGCGCTCTGAGCATCACCACGCACACAGAGCAGAGAAGCACAGAGAGCAGGTACCACGCTCCCACCCTGGGGTGTTCATCCCTGTAAGTATTTCCCAGCCAACAACTTTAGGGTAAGGCTCACCCCCATGCCCTGCTCCAAGCATCATGCACATCCTGCATCCTCTTTCTTGTTTCAAAGCCCTTTTTCCCCTTGAAGGGAGTTTCGTTTAAATCAAAAGCAGGATTCCAACCCCTTGCTTCCCTTTGCAGCCCATTCCCCAGGCTGGGGCAATGGGGGTCCCAGCGTTACCTGTGCCGAGGGGGTGAGACATCCTCCAGGCGAGCTCCTGCGAGCTCCGGGCAGGGGAGGAAGCAAAGAGCCACCCCCGGAGCATCCTTCTCCCCTCCCCGCCTCGCCGGTCCCTCCTACCGCCCTCCCCTCGCCTCTCCCGGGCAGGGACCCAGGTGGTCCCCGGCTCCCTCTGAGCCCCCGGGAGCTGCAGGCACTGGGGATGGGGTCTGCAGACACCCCCAGCCCTGCAGCGACGGAGCGAGGGTGGGGACACAGTGCGAGGACCTCGAAGGAAAGGCTGGAAGTTGGGAAGATGCGGAGGCAGGCGCAGGAGGAGCAGCCTGGGAAGCCGGGCACAGAACGGGGATACAGAGAAAGGCTGTTCCACAGCACCATTCCCCATTACTTGTCATGGTTGTTATTTAACAGGAGAGGGCTTTTTCCCTGCTCCATGCATTTTTCCATCCCCACTGCTCGTAGGAGGTCCTGCATAGTGTGAAGCATCCCTGCCCATGGCAGGGGGTTGGAACTGGATGATCTTAAGGTCCTTTCCAACCCAAACCATTCTATGATTCATTCATCTCGGTGCTGAAAAGCAGCAAACAGCCAGGAAAAGGCAGATCCCTAAAGATGAGCCTTTCCCTTATCCCAGCAAAACCGAAACAGAGGGAACAAACCAGGCAAAGGGCCTGTGGGGATCCACATCTATTTTCCTCTCCACCAAATGTTTCACAGCGCTTTGGTGCTGGGATGCTTTGACCCAGGGCATCAGGCAGCTGCTGCTTGTTCCTCCTGGGGAGAAAGAAGCGGAGCAGAGACATCTCCTGCATTTGGTTGCTCCTAAAGGCAGTTTTCCCAGGAGCACATCCCGTCTGCTGCCTCCCCAAGGAAGGAACACAGCATGGGACTTCCCCCCTTGCACAGGCCACATCCTGCACCCTGTGGGGAGATGAGTGTTCGGATACAAGAGGTGCAAGCAGGTGGCTTTGGAGCTGTTTGCAAGCTCCTAACGTGTTTCCCATTGCCCTGCTCCGTGCTAAGTACTTTGGGAGCGGGATGGGCATCTCCATCCGCGGTGCCAGCAGCTCCTTCATCCATCCCACCACTGTGCAAACACCCTGGCACCCTCCAGTCCTCCTGGGGACAGCGTGGAGAGGTGATTATGGCAGAAACACCTTTAAAGCTCTGAGGTGCAGAGCGCTGCATCACCTCAGGTCAGAGTTGGCATCAACCACAAGAGGTTTCGGGGGGCAGATGCTCCCTGCCAAAGTACATCTGCAAGGAAAGCTCCAAAGAGCTGCAACAGGGCTCTTAATGCTGTGCTTAACACCAGGGTTTCTCCTTTGCTGCTCAAGCAGCACAGCCTGTGTAGGAGGCTGGCTAAAATAGCTTCCTCACCAGGGCAGGGTGTGCAGCAGCTCTGGGATTTTCTGCTCCTTGCATTGCAGGTGGGGGTTTTCAGCCCCCCAAGAGCTGTGACAGGTCAGGATGGGATGGGGCTGATACACAACCTGCAAAGCCTGGTCCTTGTACTAAGGGGCTGCTTCAGCAGCCAGTCTGAACGCACCAGCATCCAGGCAGAAAATACATCCAAGGTACTGGTATTTCCAAGGGGAAAGAGGGATCTGCAGAACTCCCTGCTGCAGGACCAGAGGATTCTGCAGTCCCCAAACCCAGACAGATTCACCCAAGAAGAAAACCATCCCCTAAGGACCAGGTGCCACATGCCCATAGAGTTTCATAGACTCGTATGAATCCCAGACTGGTTTGGGTTGAAGGGACCTTAAAGCTCCTCCAGTTCCAACCCCTGCCCCGGGCAGGGACACCTTCCACTAGAGCAGGTTGCTCCAAGCCCCTGTGTCCAACCTGGCCTTGAACACTGCCAGGGATGGGGCAGCCACAGCTTCTCTGGGCACCCTGTGCCAGCGCCTCAGCACCCTCACAGGGAAGAGCTTCTGCCCAAGAGCTCATCTCAGTCTATCCAGGAAAACCACCTGTGTATGAGCTGCAAACTCCTGCCCTGCTTCCCACCTCCGGTACCGGGGTTTGGCAGGAAGGATACAGGGTTGGGGATGCTCAGAAGGGGATTTTCCAGCTTCAGTGAAGGTTGCCTTTGAGAGAGGAACATGATGAGCAGCTCCTGTGCACTAGCAAGGAGAGACAGGGAAGGATTGTTTCCTTCTCGATGCGCTGCTGGGAAGCACTGGCTTATGCACACTGGTCAGGTTCATGTCCTGGCAGAGGAAGGAAGAGAAGAACCTGCTTATAAAGGAGACAAACTTCCTGGTCCTTTTGCTCTGGCAACCTCTTACGCTACTTATAGCAGAGCTTCAAAATCCTGCAATAGCTCCAGGGAGCACAATTAACCTCCCTTTATCCCATCCCAGCCCCATTTTGGCAGGATACAACCTATATCTTCTTCCTTCCAAAACTCCTGCAGGTCTGGGGACACAAGAGGAGGGCTTTGTCCCACTTTCCCAGGGGAACGAGTTGCTTTGGCAAATGGAAAGCACAAAATCCCTGGAAAAACAAGAGCACAAACGCACCACCCAGCTCATGGGACACACACTGAGCGGCTGGAGGGCACGTTCTCTGCATGGGCTCATTTTTGGGAGGCCAGAAGGGAAAATGCCAATTTCTGTGTGAAGGAAGGATTAACAATAGTAATTCCTCTTCTCCCTACAACTCTTAGCGCAGCATCTCTCCAGCTGCAGGCCACGATGCCCTTAAGACATTTGCTCCTTGGGGAATGCCTGGAAGCACTGATTGCACTTAATGGCAATTAGGGGAGGAACTGGCCAGCACACCCCAGCTTAGCACCTAACTCTATCATTTGCTCTCTGGCTGACAAGAAAGCACAGATTTGAAGGAGCAGGGATGTTGCTGGAGGAAGATGGATGAATCCCAAAGAAAAATTGCCCTGAAAACTAAAGCTGAGGAGTTGAAGACACAAAACAGCCAAGGATTTCCCCCTCCTTCTGCAGCAGGCAGGAGACGAACAAAGTCCTCCCACCATTTCATGAAGGCAGTGCCCGCATATATTCTTCCATCTTCATATACAAATGACCATTAAAGTGACTATTTTATTAACTATTAGTTGTTAATATTACAGCCTATTAACTCTAATAGTGTGGTAATAGGTGCAGTTATTAATATGCAGATTCTGAGAAATCTCATTAACTCCAAGGTCCTCAACCTCTCAGTGTTTTCAGGACCAGCAGCCAAAGCAATCTGCCCTGTTCTGCAGCCAGAGCCTGCCCGGATGGGCAAAATTCATCACTCTGTGCTATCAGCTGTCAAGGAGCATTGCTAAGGATTGCTCTTACCTCCAGAGAAGTTCACTGTGAAGTGGTTGGGGGTATCTAAACCCTCTCTGGTTTGGAAACTGAGGGGCTTAACACACTTCCACAGTAGGGTGGCCACTAACCAACCATGTGCGGATACTGTGGTGCTTCTCCTGTGGTTGTGATCAGGAGTAATGGTGACCAAAGTGTTTTAGGGACCCAAATTGTTCAAAGCATCATGTCCTCTCCTTGGGCATGTGTCTGAGGTTCCCCCCGCTCCCAAAACCAGCCCTATCTTCTGGTGAGCATTAAAGCCCATGTTCCCAAAGGTCTTCACCCAGCAAACACCATCTCAGTGTGGTGGGAACATGGTAACTAAGAGGTGGTTGGCTGTCCCAGACATGGACCCACTGACTTGGGGTCCAGCCCAAGGTGGCCAGTCTCAGTCCCTCAGCACATGGGGTGGGGAATGGGGCTTTGCAACAAATGAACCGGAGCTTAAGGGGAAACCAAGGCACGTGAGAAGTCCAGAAATGCAGCAAAACTCTGCATTAAAAATTGAAAATCCTTTAAAAATCAACCCACAGTTTCAAAAAGTACAAAAGTTGTTTGAAGAAGAGTCCCTTAATAAGACACAGTAGTGTTGAAGTGGAACAGTTTTGGTCGCACCACTTTGGTTTGAAGCCCTGAGCTCAGCTGAGCATCCCTGCATCCTCCCATCTCTTTTGCATCCCTTTACACCACAGCAGCAATACAGAGATTTGTGTCATTGCAGAAAG